TTTTTAAAATTAATTTTTATTAGTGAAACACCATGAGGTACAATTGTAGACTTACAAATTTTTGTGCTTGGGTTTCAGTTATAGAATGATCAAGTACCCAGCCCTGCACCAGTGCCCATTTCCCACCACCACGGATCCCAGTATCCCTCCCACCCCCATCCCCCCCATCCCCCCCTGCTCCTGTGGCAGGGCATTCCCCTTTGTTTTCTCTCTCCTTTGGGGTGTTGTGGTCTGCAAAAGAGGCATTGAGTGGCAATCATGTTTGGTCCATAGTCTACTTTCAACATGCATCTCCCATCCTGGGAGGATCCTCCAGACACCCTTTACTTGGTGCTCCCTTCTCTATCTGAACTGCCCTTTCCCCTAGAATGCCCGTCTGGCCTCTAAGCCATGGAGTAATCCTCCTGGTACTGATCTCAGCTATTCTTGGGTACTAATCTCCCATTTTGTTACTTTATGAATGCAAGATAAAGATAATTTTTTTAAATGAATGTATTCTCCCCTCCCCATACTTCTAGAAGCCCCGGCAGTCACGCCCATGTGCTACCACTGCCGCCCGACGAGGCAGGATATGTGCCAGCCGGAGGCCGGGGATCCTTCCATCAAGGAAACCGAGGTATTTTCAAGCTTGCAGCAGCCGAGGTCTGCCCACACCCCGAATCTCCAGAGGGACATCAGGCTTCCCTCTGCAGGCCTTGGTGTTCCCCATCTGTATCATGGGCGTGTGGACTGAAATAACCCTTCTGGTCCCTTCCAATTTAGAAGTCCTAGAGTCTTTTTAAAATTTTTAAGGTGTGTTTTGTTGTGGGGGGGGGCATGCCTGGCAATGCTGGTCACACCCAGTGATGCTCAGGGGTCACTCCTGGCTCTGTACTCAGGACTCACTTCTGGCAGTGCTTGAGGGAACATATGGGGTGCCGGGTCGGCCGTGTGCAAAGCCAATGCTCCACCCGCTGGACTCTCTGACCCCAGAAGTTCTAGAGTCTGGAAACGGTAAACACATTCCAGGGCTCAACACGGTTGGGGCCGAATGCCAAGGGACATGGCGCTCAGCAGGCACTTAACAAATTATCCTCTGGCTGGTGGTTGAATAGTGAGCCTCGCGCAGCTTTGATGCTACTAGCAGGTCAGTTCCTTGCCAGGGACCTTCGCCAGGTGAGTGATCCAACCCCGGAATAAATGTTTGAGGGCCACAGCAGGGTGGCGAATGCAAATTAGGCTTTGGAGCAGGTCTGGGGTTCAGGCCCTGGGGCTTCCAGTTACCTGCTGTGTTCACACTGAAAAAAAAAAAACATCACTTGGGGCTGGAGAGAGAGTGGGGTTACAGTGTGCCTGCTTTTCACACCCTGCACCCCAGTTCAATCCCTGGCACCACATGGCCTCAAGATCACTAAGCGTTGTCCCCAAGCACCGCCAGGCCCAACCAGCACCAAATCCCTAGAACTGAATCACCAGTGTGGTGGTCCAAGAATAGCCAGGAAATTCCGCTGGGCTTCCTGAACACTGCTTGGGAGCCTGCTCACCCTCCCTCACCCCCAACCCTGGGCATACGTGCACGTACACATACACATACACACACACACACACACACGCACGCACACGAATGACAGGCCAATCAGAGCCACAACCAGAGCTGGACCGGGTCCAACACAATAAATATTTCTGCTTCAGATAGCCCGATGGGTCAGTTATCAGCCCACTTAATCACTTAACTTCCCGTTAGTCGTCGATTTGCTCGAGCGGGCGCCAGTAACGTCTCCATTTGTCCCTGTCGCGTGCTAGTGTAGCCCAATGGCATCTGTTCGCTCTGGGAACATGAAGAGCCTCAAACCGATGGTTCACGATCTTGACGAAGAAGTCTGACCATCTGGAAGGTGGGCGGCCATGCGGTCTTTTGACATCCCGTGGAATCCAGTCGGTAACAGCTCTAGTCCAGCGGTCGTCTTTAAATCTCATTACGTGACCAGCCCATCTGATTTTCGACACCTTGGCAAATGAGACAGCGTCCCTGATCCTTGATCGTCGACGGATGTCAGAACTCCGGATTCGTTCTCTCATTTGAGTGAAACGTGATATTCCAAGCATAGCTCTTTCTATTCTTCTTTGGGAGACCTGAATGGCGTTCTCATCTTGTTTGCGTAGGGCCCAGGTCTCTGAGGCATATGTTAGTGCAGGAAGAACAGTGGAATCCAAGAGATGCGCCCGGAGCCGGAGGTTCTTTGTCCTCTTAGCTATTTCTTCGACGTTCTTGAAGGCGTTCCAAGCCGCTCTCTTCCTCCTGCGCAGCTCGGGTGCCAGGTCATTTGTCATGTTGACCTCTCGACCTAGGTACACATAGCTGTTGCATTCGGAGATGGTCGTTCCATTGAGAGCGAATGGGGCGTCAGGAACGAGGCTGTTTCTCATAAACATTGTCTTCGTAAGATTCAGCTGTAGTCCTACCTTTCCAGTTATCAGCCCAATACACACAAATCGAGTACCAACTGGGATGTCATCTCCGGGACACTGGCACCTAAAACTTCACCACTGACCAGAAACTTCTGTTTCTGCCTCTGCCCTGTCACAGCTCTGGGTGCTGCTACTTCTGCCCTGAGCTGCAGCGGGACAGGGAGGCCCAGTGGGGCAGAGAAGAAAGGCTGGAGGGGGCGTGGGGTGCAGGGGCCTCCAGGAGTGAGGGTAAGACTGTAGGGGCCCAAATCAACTGTTCCCCAAACTCAGAGCCTCAGTTGGGAGCATAGGGCTAAGTTTCCTAGTGCTCCCCTGGGTGTTGAACAGAGACTAGCCAAGCAGCTCACTATCCAGGCTCTGAACAAGGAAGGATGCGGGCATCATCTCATGAACCCTGAGAAGCATCCGGACTGGCACAGAGAAGTCAGACCACATACCTACAATCCCACCTTGGCCCCTTCCCGACCCTCAGCTTCCCACCGCCCCGGGTGAGCTTGGAATCCAGCTGTTCTGTCTGACTTGGGGCTGGCGTGATAGCACAGTGGGAAGGGCGCTTGCCTTGCTCCTGGCCAACCTGGGATCTATCCCTAGCATCCCCTATGGTCCCCCCAGGCACTGCCAGGAGTGATCCCTGAGCACAGAGCACAGAGCTAGAAGTGAGCTCCGAGCACAGAACAAACCAACAAATGGAATCCAACAAAAAAGCAAAGAACGGAAACAAAAACAGATGTTCTGACATGTGCCAAACACCCGGGCCCTCCCGTCTCCCACTTGAGGGGGTGCCCTGCAGGGATAATTCCAAGGTTGAGGACCCTCCCCAGGTGCCCTCCTAGACCAATCACTCTACACCCTGGTATTTTGAGGGAGCTGCTTCCCTTCTGCTCTGACAGCCTCTGGAACATGGAATCACTGGTTTGGGGGGAGAAGAAGCAGGGCCATGGGTGGGCGGCGGCGGGGTGGGGGGCAAAAAGGACTTTGTTACCAGGAAAGAAAAAGCCTTCACCATTTGGAGTCAATGAGGGCCTTTTCCTCCCTCCCTCCCTTCCTCCCTCCCTCCCTCCCTCCCTCCCTCTCCCCCTCCCTCCCCTCTTCTTTCTCTCACTCTCCTTCTCTCCCTCTCTCTCTCCCTCTCTCTCTCTCTCCCTCTCTCTCCCCCCTCTCTCTCTCCCGCTCTTCCTTGCCCCACCCCCACCCCCAGGCCTTAGTTTTTAATTAAGAGCAGGAATCAGATACTATTGCTTTAATTAACTCCCCGGATGCACCCCACTCTTGGAGGCTCCTTCTGATATTTCCAACATCAAATTTTTCCACCCAAGATGATATGCAGACACTCTCCAGACATTTGCCATTTGCCTAATCTGCCTGAAAGGTTAGCGTGAACTTCCACCCCCTTCCTTCTGTAGGAACACCCCCAACCCCCGCCCCCGCCCCCCCAGTTCCAGAGCAAACACATTTTAAGGCAAGAAGGGGTTGACTGGCTTTGCTCCATTAGTCTGGGCGGTTGATTTTTTTTCTTTCTTTCTCTCTTATCACATTGCTTCCTCTGTTATCACAGGCCCAGGGCTGCGTTTCATCATAATTATGCATCTGCTTAATCCATAATTTCTGATTTATCGCCATTAGCTCCTAATTACAAGACGGCTGCCCTTGAAAAGGAACATCAAATGAACGGAAAGAAACAGAGCTGAAAAGCAACAGGGCAGATGGATTCAGATTCCACATGGCGGGGTGAATCCTGAGGTATCCACTGCTGGCCCTCCTGGACATTGATGAGGGGTCCTCTCGTCTCAGGCCAGGACCAAATCCATCTCTCTGTGCTCGGTCAAAGAGGAGAATCCTGACACTCAAAGTGGGGGATGCATCCCACCTGGCTGTGCTTATAGGCCCCCTTCCCCACTTCAAGAAAGCACTGTCTGTAGCACTGTCCTCCGTTGTTCAGCAATTTGCTCGAGCGGGCACCAGTAAAATTTCACAACAAATTGTGAGACTTGTTGTTACTGTTTTTGGCATATAGAATACGTCACAGGGAGCTTGCCAGGATTTGCCGTGCAGGCAAGATACTCTCGGTAGCTTGCTGGGCTCTCCGAGAGGGCCAGAGGAATCAAACCTGGGTCGGCGGCATGCAAGGCGAACGCCTTACCCACCGTGCTATTGCTCCAGCCCCGTTCAAGAAAAAAGAAAACAGAATCAAAAACCCATTTAAGGCCTTTGTTCACTGAGAAACATTTAAAATGATCCAGGTCCGGAACACTCCTAGGACTTACCCGAATAGAAGGAACTGATAAGCCATTCACAGCAATTAAAAAGCATTGGCCCAGTGCTATTTAGAATGACCTGGAAAACCGCGAGGCTTCTGGACATCGACATTTCAACACAGAAGGTGGGAAACACAATTCAGCTTTCTGCTTGGCCATGGAGGAGGCGGAAGCTCAGAGAGGGCAACTGGCCTGCCCGAAGTCACACAGCCAGGAAGGGGCAGCCTGAGACCTCAGACTGGCAGGCTTGTCCGGGCCGAGCTCAGGGGCAACAGGACCCCTGAAGCAGACACTCACCTGGGAACGAGGCTGCGGTGGTGGGAGGACAGGTGAGACGGGGTCCTCTCGGTGTCGGTGTTGAGGGACAGAGTGCAGCTGAGCCAGGACTGTGCACTGCCCCCGGGCTGGGAGCTGAGGGTGGAGGCGTTGTCTCTGGAACCAGAGCGCAGGGGCCAAGTCAGCACGGTGACAACCACAGGAGCGGCAAAAACTAGACACTGCGCTGAGCCACACGCTCGGGCACTGTGACGGCTGCAGTACAGGCTCACCCTGTCTCCTGTGATGGGCGGGCGGGGATGGGATCTGGGGAGACCAGCACTGATCTACTCAGGCACAGAGTGGCAGCGGGGTGCATCTGGATCCCCACTCGTCTGACGCGTTTGTCCATCACCACAAAGTCTCACAGACGGGCAGAGGCACCCCCGAGTCTGGAGCAGACTCAACCCTGAATTTTGTACTCTGTGATCTGCCTAGTGAAGATGTCAAGGGGGAAGGCCTTAATGCATGCCATCATGGGGACGCGTTTACAGACAGGTTATTATTCTGATGTTCCCCCAACTCTGAAAGAAGCACAGAGAGAGAGAGAGCCGAGAGAGAGAGAGAGAGAGAGAGAGAGAAAGAGAGAGAGAGAGAGAGCTATAGAGAGACTCAATGATTGGTCCCCATGGGTACCCGGGGTCACTGTCACTGTCACTGTCCTCCCATTGTTCATCGATTTGCTCGAGCGGGCCCAGTAACGTCTCCATTGGAGACTTTGTTGTTACTGTGTTTGGCATATCGAATACATCACGGGTAGCTTGCCAAGCTCTGCTGTGCAGGTGAGATACTCTCGGTAGCTTGCTGGGCTCTCCGAGAGGGGCGGAGGAATTGAACTTGGGTCGGCCATGTTGGCTGCGTGCAAGGCAAACGCCCTACCGCTGTGCTATCGCTCCAGCCCAGGGTACCCGGGGTACTCAATGCTTATGTTCTGACTGATACATCTGCTCAAAGTTACACACATATCTACATACATATGTAGATATACACACATCCCTATGCTGCAGGATATGTATGTGTGTATATATGTAGACATTTGCTTTTAGAAGTCTTGGCCGTTGATGGGATTACACGGCGCCAGGGGGCCAGTTGGTGGGTGTGACCCCCGCCTACTGGAATTTGGAGGATCTGGGTGGAGGATGCTTGGCCCAGATCCGAGTAGGCTTGGAGATCTCGGCCTCGGAACCCGCGTGACTTTGTCCCTCTGCCAGTACCTTTATGTGTGTGGAGAGTGGTCTCAGCATGGTGGTGGCTGGTCCTGGAGGTCTTTGGCTGCCGGAGCCCTGGTCGGGGCGGGGAGGAAAGCTCAACCTGCTCCCCTCCAAGGGGCGGCGAGGACAGTCAGGCACGGGGGCACCCACCAACTGGCCCCCTGGCGCCGTGTAATCCCATCAACGGCCAAGACTCAGAGACTATAAAAACCAGCTCCCGGAAGAGAAGAGTGCAGTCTTCTGCCCCCGCGCCTGACTGTCCTCGCTGCCAGGGCCCCTTGGAGGGGAGCAGGTTGAGCTTTCCTCCCCGCCCTGACCAGGGCTCCAGCAGCCAAAGACCTCCAGGACCAGCCACCACCATGCTGAGACCACTCTCCACACACATGAAGGTACTGGCAGAGGGACAAAGTCACGCGGGTTCCGGGGCCGAGATTTCCAAGCCTACTCGGATCTGGGCCAAGCATCCTCCACCCAGATCCTCCAAATTCGAGTAGGCGGAGGTCACACCCACCAACTGGCCCCCTGGCGCCGTGTAATCCCATCAACGGCCAAGACTCAGAGACTATAAAAACCAGCTCCCGGAACTGCGTGGCTGCATTCGCGGCTGCGCGACATCCCATTATGACATCTTATTATCTCATTCCTACTTTGGACAAACTGGCAGGCTACCGAATGTAATCTGCCCACACGGCAGAGTCTGGCAAACTCCCTGTGGCGTACCCAATATGCCAAATACCAGTAACAATGATGGGTCTCATTCTCCTAAAGAGCCTTGAATATAATCTCAGGGCTAGGATGAAGGAGACGTTACTGGGACCTGCTCGAGGCAATCGACGATTAACAGGATGATTTGTGATTTGTTTGTGATTGTTTTTAGAATACAGCTTACAAGGCACCAATGGGAAGGAGCCACATGCATGAACCCAATGTGTGCCCTCAAGACCCTGTCTAAGCAGTGTCTATGCATCAATAGACATCAAGCAAAGGAGAGGTAGGAATGCCACAGAGGCAGCAGAGTCTAGGTCTGAAGGACACCACGTCTTTATTTACATTGTGGAGGGTGAGCTGGATCTTACTTAAAAGGACTTTCAGTCCCTGCAGGGACCGAAAGAAGGAATCTGAGGCAGAAAGAATTGAGGTTGTAAAAGGTGGGGTGTGGTTGCTAGGGGAATTGGGGTCCCTGGGTAGAGAGGGAAATGGGTCGGGAAGCATGGGGATCAAGTGCCAGAATAAACATCTGGGAGAGCCATCGAAGGCGCTGGAGAACAGAGGCAGGCGATGTCTTGGGCCTTTCTGTTTCAAAGGACATGGATAGAGGCTGGTGGGATAGCGCAGCTAAAGCAGTTGCCTTGCGCCAAGTCAAGCCAAGACCCATTCCCAGCACCCTCTATGGCATCCTGAGCCCCACCAAGAGTGATCCCTGAGCACAGAGATAGAAGTAATCCATGAGCCCTATAGAGCGTCACCCCACCAACTAAAATTAAATAAAATAAATATCATGGACACTCCTGACCCCGCCCTGGAGTTGCCAGCTCCGTGCAGGGACTCGGGACTCCCACCACTGCTGACTCTCCAAGGGGATGAGTGCGTTCCTCTGCGAACCACAGGCAGATGACCCGGGGCTGGCTTGGGTTCGAGGGAAGCTCAGGTCCACTCAGGTTTACTTACGTCTCTTTTCTGTCACCATCAGCACAGTCCACAGCTGTCTGGACGCTAGGAGGAGACATAAGAAATATAGTGTTATTCTTGAGTTGCCCGGGGTGGGGAGCTTTTATTTCCCTCCAAGCAGTGAATTTTCTTTCTTTTAAAAATTTACCTATATTGGGGCTGGAGTGATTGTACAGTGGGTAGGGCATTTGCCATGTACACATGAACTTCTGGGTTTGATTTCCGGCATCCCAGACGGTCCCTGAGCACCACCAGGAATAATTCCGGAGTGCAGAACCAGGAGTAACCTCTGAGCATTAACAGGTGTGACTGCCTCCCCCATCCCACTAAAAAAAATGACCCATGTTAGTTTCAGGTGTACAACATAATGGTGCAAAATATGTACATGCTACGAAATCATCACCCCATAAGCCTGGATTGCATCCACCCCACACAATTACTAATATACTTTTCATGTGATGGGGACTGGAGCGATAGCACAGCGGCAGGGCGCTTGCCTTGCGCACAGTCAGCCTGGCTGAGCCGGGTTCGATTCCTCCGCCCCTCTCAGAGAGCCCTGCAAGTACCGAGAGTATCCCGCCTGCATGACAAATCCTGGCAGGCCACCCGTGACGTATTTGTATTCAATGTGCCAACCACAATAACAACAAGTCTCAGAAAAGGAGATGTTACTGGGCCCGCTTGAGCAAATCAGTGAACAACGGGAAGACAGTGTTTGTTCTGTGTTTGGGGACGATATAAACAGCCCTTCCCCACCCCCCACCCCCCCCACCCCCCGCCTCTGAGCAACTCTCAAATGTGATGCTACTTCCTAGTATCGTCACATTACAGCACTTCCTGGTTTCACCATTTCTATGCCTCTGACACCCTTCCCCTATTGCTACTGACCCCGACCTCTGGCAACCACCACTCTGTTCCCTGTGTTGATGGGGTTTTGTTGTTTGTTTCTTGGTTTGGTTTTTAGATGCCACCTTTAAGTGAGATCATACCTTGCCTCTGTCCAATTTCTATCACGTAGCAGGACTTCCTTAAGGCCCAATCCACATGACTGCAAATAAATGTCTTTGTTTCTTGGACAAAGTCAGAGCCACACCTGGAAGAGCTCAGGGGCTCATCCACATTCTGTTCTCAGGGCTCACGCCTGGTAGTGCTCAGGGGACCATGTGCAGTGCTGGGGATCAAACCAAGGTTGGCTGCGTGCAAGGCAAGCACCCCAACCTCTGTCCTCCTCTCTCCAGCCCCAAGATGTCCTCTTTCATGACTGAATAATATTCTGATGTATGGAAGTACTGCGTTTCTCTATCCAGTCCCCCATAGATAGGAAGGAACTTGGGTCACTTTCAAGTCTTTGTGACGTTAAATGATGCTGCAGTGAACTTGGGGAGCTACCTACATCTTTTCAAGTTCATCTTCATTTCCCTTGAATAAATACCCAGGACAGAACTATTGGATCACACAGCAGTTCTAGTTGCAAAAAAATTTGGGGGGGGGGGGGTGGCTATTTATGGGTCATGCCTAGTCGAGATCAGATTGCTTCTCCTGTCCTGGTGTTTAGGGATTGGTTCTGCTGACGCTCAGGAATCATATGATTGCCAGGGTTCAATCCCAGGACTCCTGTGCACCCAACTACATGCTCCGGCCCATTGAGCTCTCTCCCAAGTTTCTATATCTTTAATTTACTCTGGCAGTGCTCAGGGCTTATTCCTGGCTCTGTGCTCAGGTCAGGGATCACATCTGGCAGTGCTCAGGTGACCATATGGTGTGCCAGGCACCAAACTGGGGCCCAACACCTGACAGGAAAGCATCCTACCTGCTTTGCTGTCTCTCTGACACCTATTTTGATGTTTTTGGGAAACTTTCCTGCTGTTTCTCTGAGTGGCTGTACTCATTTACAGTTCAGGAGGCCCAAGCCGGTCCTTCCCCCCTCATCTGCTGCGGCGTTTGCTTCCTGTCTTGTTGACGACAGCCATTCTAATAGGTGTGAGGGGATACTGCTGTGTGACTTGGGGCAAGTCCCCTGCCTTCTCTGAGCCTCCTGTGCTCCTCTGTAAAATGTCACGGGGCTCTGCCTACAGAGTGGAGGGACGGGCCAAATAACCCTTGCAAAGAGCTCGACCAGGTTCTCCGCAAACAGATCATGCGAATGCAATGGGAGAGACCATTACCACGACTCTAATTTCCATACAACTTGTACCGCGACTATTAACAGCACCGTTATTGCCAGCAAACAAGGCGTTTGCTTTATGCACCTCGTGTGCTAGCAAATTAGACGGGGAGACGGCGGCCAGTGTCCCGGGGCACTCTGGGAAACGGACACGGATGACAGTCACAGCCATTCTCGAGAGCCTCCTTCCATGGAGCAAATACGCTCTGGACACACTCTCACCTTCCTCAATCCCCCTGCCCGCCATCCTCAGGTGAGAGACCAGGGACCGGACACGAAGGTCACTCGGCTTTGAACGTTGCACCCGTAAGAGCCTTGAGCCCGAGTGGAGCTGCCCACTGTGGATGGCCAGTTTCCACATACCCTGGACACCGAGGCCACCACCTGGATCCAGGCTCCTTCCTGCCCTTTTCGGTGGGTATCTGGACAGTCCTTTCCTTGAAACCTGACTGCTTCCTCCTTGGAAAGCACTGGGGCTCTTGGACTCTCCCCGCAAGGACCGGCCACCTTCAGGTTTTACAAACATCTCTCTGTCCCCACCACGACAGGAAGAACCCCCAACACCACCCCCGACCCCTCACTGCCACTACCATGGGGGGCGGAAGGGCAGTACATGTCTTATTTGTACTTCCTTAGCCTCAGAGCTCAGAACAGACCGGGACCCTAACCGTGCTTGGTAAGTTCAATAGAAAGCAGGTCGATGAATTTGAGCCAGGGGACACATTCATACGAATCCATCTGCTTTCTGTAAGAGCTTTATTGGAATAGGGCCATGCGCACTCATTTCCATATTGTCCAAGGCTGCTTTTGTTCCACAGCACAGCTGGTGTCAGGGACCCCAATGGCCTGGAAGTGCTAGAGTACCTGCCAGGAAGCCTTTGGAAGAGAAGTATGCGCATGAGAAACCATTGCGAATAACAACGTAAGCCATGGAATCTCAATTAAAAATGAAAATAAATAAATAAAGGCGGGGGCTGGAGCAATAGTACAGCGGGTAGGGCATATGCCTTGTGCGCGGTCAACCCGGGTTCAATTCCCAGCATCTCCTATGGTTCCCCAAGCACCACCAGGAGTAATTCCTGAGTGCAGAACCAGGAGGAACCCCTGAGCATCACCGGATGTGACCCAAAAAGAAAAAAAAATAACTAATTAAATAAAGATGATATTTCCTAGGGGTTGGAGAGATCATACAGCAGGTACAGTGTTGACCTTGGCCAACGTCTATCCCAGTTCAATCCCTGGCACCATATGCCAAGCCCCGAGCACCGCCAGGTGTGGCCCCCAAACAAAATGTGAAATAAAGAGTCGTTTCCTGACTTCTCCGGGAGATGAGAAGCCCCTTCCCAAGAGAGCCCGGGAGGGGTGGAACGGTGACCACAAGCGGGTCCTGCCCTGATCCCCAAGCCTAGGAGGCTGCTGGTGTGCTCTGAGGTGGAGAGCAGGCAGGCAGGAGCCTCTGGACAGTGTCCCTGAAGTGTCCCTGGCCTTGCCACGTCCCTTTAAAAGGTGTCCTCACCTTTCCTGTGGCCCCGCCAGGCCTCTGACTATGACAGCGGCTCATCTCAGAGCCGATTCCCAGACTTGCGGGAAGAGGTGGGGTTTCTGGGTCAATGTTTTACATGGATTGGGCTGGAGAGATAGTGCAGTGGGTAAGGTGCTTCCTTGCACGTGGCCCACCCTGTTAGACCTGCCACTGCATAGGGGTGCCCGAGCCCTGCCAGGAGTGAGCACTGAGCACAGAGTCAGGAGCGAGCCCTGAGCACCACTGAGTACAGCCCCCAAATAAAGCAAACAAAATTTAAAAAAAAATTTTTTTTAGCATGACAAATAGACAGGCAGCCAGAAGACTCAAGGTGGTTCCATCACCAACTCTTTTCCTTCGGGGAGGTGGGGTGCATCTGCCAGGTGGCGCCGGAAATTCTCGGGCAGTTGGACCAGAGGGTAAATGCCAGGGCCCACGGATGCTGGCCAGGGTCTCTGCAGTGCCAGGGTTCACCTGGGCCACCTTGGCAGTGCTCAAGAGTCACTAGGATCACACCAGGCAATGCTTGAGGACCCCAGGGCTGCTTGTGGTGGGCTGTGTAATGGCAGGGATCGAACCCAGGCTGGCTGCCATACTATCTGCAGCATATCTCCAAGGACTTTTTTTAAAAAATATTTTATTTTTATTTTTTTAAATTTTTTAAAAAAAATTTTTGGCTTTTTAGGTCACACCCGGCATTGCACAGGGGCTACTCCTGGCTCGTGCACTCAGGAATGACTCCTGGCAGTGCTCGGGGGACCATGTGGGAGGCTGGGAATCGAACCTGGGTTGGCCGCGTGCAAGGCAAACGCCCTACCTGCTGTGCTATCACTCCAGCCCCTTAAAAAATATTTTAAATTTGTAATTAAAGAGCCATGATTTACAAAGCCATTGATAGTCGCGTTTTAAGCAGCTAATATTTTAACATCAGTGTCCAACTTCTCTCCACCAGTGTTGCTATAATCTGTGTCCCCTATCCTTCCACCTCCACTACCTACAACCCTGACAGGCTGTCAGGTGACCCAGGAGTCAGGGGTCACCCATGACAACCTCTTCAAGCTCTTTGCCCTGGCACAGAGATCTGTGGGGCTGTCTATCAGCGAACCCAGTCCGCACCCCCTGCCCCGCATGAATAATGAGTGCACCCCGGGGTCCCCGGAGAATCAGCCGAGAGCATCTCCCCATTAATCTAGGATGGCCGGCAGGGCCCAATGCCCACGCAGGGCCGGCCGGCCGGCCGCAGGGAAGGCGCATGGAGCCGCAGTCACGCCAGCCGCCCGGCTTTCTGAGCACGTAGACGCGCCTCCAGCCTGGAAGGCCTGTTACACTCGGATCTAATTCCCAACACGGGCTGACGTGACTTTTCATAATTTGAACAAGCCTCTCCAAGAACCTCACCTCCAGCGGAAAAGCCCCACTGCCCCCCTTCTCTCTCTCTCTCTCTCTCTCTCTCTCTCTCTCTCTCTCTCTCTGGTGGGGCTGAATCCTAATTGAGACATCAAATTTGGAGAAAATGCTCAGACCAGTCCCTCGGGCTCCTCCGATCCTCTTATCCCTGGGTGACGAGGTCATTAGAAGGGGAGCAGTGCAGGGAGGGGGAGTGGAGAGTGAGGCTGGCTGCCTGACGCCCCGACAACCCGCCTGGGTGCATCACTTCTTAATGGTGCCCAGATGACCTGTGTGGCATCTGGGGCACATGGTTTGGATAGTGCTGAACACTCACATGCAGTGCCGTGTTTCCATACGGTCTTGTGTGTGTGTGTGTGTGTGTGTGTGTGTGTGTGTGTGTGTGTGTTTCTTTTTGGATCACACCTGGCGATGCTCTGGAGTTACTCCTGGCTCTGCACTCAGGTCTTAGTCCTGGCGGTGCTCGGGGGCCTGGGATGCCAGGGATTGAACTTGCGTCGGCCACATACCAGGGAAGCGTCCTCCGTGCCCGCCACGTTTTCCGGAGGAGGTGTCTATTCGCCTGGGAGTCCCCCTGTGGACCAGTGGAGTCTGGCTTCGGGGCATTGGCATTGCACAGCCCAGCTGTAGGCAGCTAGTCAAAGCCTGCTGAGCCACAAGAAAGGCTTCCTCGGAGCCCGCAGGCATGGGGTGGCATGACCAGGAGGAGCCTGAGGGTGCAGTGGCCGGGATACTGACCAGCTGGGCCTTGCATTCTGAATCATTTCTGCACAAGGAAATTCTCCTGGCCTTGCACTTCCATTTCAGGGGTCTGAGGGTGGGGGACCCACACTTTGGGCAGCCGACACAGCCTGGAGTTCTGAGGCACTTGGAGGGATCCGGTTGAGCTTCAGGGGTCATTTCAGAAGGGGCAGAAAGGTGGGTGAGAAGGAAGGAGGTAGGTGGGCAGTCGGGGTGGTGGTGGGGGGGTTGGCGCTTCTCCCTGACTTTCTCAGCGACACACCTTCTGCTGCATCCCCTCAGCAGTTTTTTGCTTTGTTTTGGGGAACACCTGGCAGTGCTCAGGGCTAACTCCTGGCTCTGCGCTCAGGGATCACACCTGGCAGGGACTTGGAGACCATAGGTAGTGCAGGTAAATCGAACCTGAGTCGGCCACGTGCCAGACAAGCGCCCTGCCCACTGTACTATCTCTCCGGCCCCCGACTCAGCGCCTGATGCAAGCACCTTTGCTCAGGGCCTGGGGCTGGCTCAGCGGTCCAAAAGCACCTGCCTTGCAAGCGTGAGGCCACGACGCCTACTATGCTGCCCATGTGCACCAAGGGTGAGCTGATTTCAGGGACCTTGATACCGCAACAGAGGGGGCCCAGTCTCTGGTGCCCGATCAGGTGTCCTAGCACCAGAACTGAACCGGGCCATCCTGGATCAGCACTGCAACCGAGAGAGTGAGCCCAGCTCCCACCCCAAGCACGTGCAGGGCCCACAATCACTGAACATTGCCATAGCAGCAAAGCAGAAAAGGTGCAAATGTCTTCCTCGCCAGGAGCCCATGTCAGCCTGGCCTGTGCTCAGTACCCACTGGAGTCGAGGGCTGGCTTTGTTCGGTCTCTTTCTCTCTCTTCCTCCCTCCCTCTGCTACCCTCCCTTTCTCTGAAAGATACCACAGGGGCTAAGGTGTTCACCTTGCACACAGCCAACCTCGGTTCAATCCCAGCTGCTGCATATGGTCCCGTGAGTCCTGCCAGGAGTGATCCCAGAGCACAGAACCAGGAGAAAGCCCTGAGCACCACCAGGTGTGGCCCAAAGACCAAACAGAGACAAACATCTCTTTGTGTCTATCTCTGTCTCCAGAGCACCCCAGTCCAGGTGCGATGCTCACTGAAGTCAGTCACAGAAGTTGGGGTTCCCTGGGGCACACCGGGGTTATGTTCACTCCATCCACAGACACTCAAGTGTGACCTCCGGAAACCCCCAAACCCCTCACTGAAATGTGACGGGGAAAAAAAGGAAGCCCGTGCTGGTGGACAGAGGGCCCCAACAGACTCACGTGCCTACATGGTGGCCACACTCCTTCCACTCACAAAAAAACGGCGCGAGAATTGCAAAGCGCAGAGAAGTGAGATGCCCGTTTTCTGTTTCTTTGTTTTTGAAGCAGCTCACCTTTTCTTTCTTTCTTTTTTTTTCTTTGCTTTTTGGGTCACACCCGGCAATGCACAGGGGTTACTCCTGGCTTTGCACTCAGGAATCACTCCTGGTGGTGCTCAGGGGATCATATGGGATGCTGGGAATCGAACCCGGGTCGGCTGTGTGCAAGGCAAACGCCCTACCCACTCCAGCCCCTAATCTTTTCTTTCTTTCTTTCTTTCTTTCTTTCTTTCTTTCTTTCCTTCCTTCCTTCCTTCCTTCTTTCTTTCTTTCTTTCTTTCTTTCTTTCTTTCTTTCTTTCTTTCTTTCTTCAGCCTCCATCAGCTGAAGAGATGAAGGTTCAGAGGGGTTCCCTCACCTGCTCCAGGCCTTGCAGGGGGCAATCATGCGTGCCCGAGTGGGCCCTCCCACCAACACCCACAGGCACACGCGTGCTACAAGGTGCACACACGAGGTGCAGCCTGGCCAGGTACGAGAGGCGTCTCGCCACACCTGGCGCCCGGGACCTCCCACACTCCCACATCCCTGAAGGACAGATGGGGCCCCTCCCAACTAGGGATGTGAGCCAAGACCGGGGTGGCCACACCAGAAGGGGTCATGGAAGCTCAGCGGGGAGGGAGACCCACAATCTCCGCCCCAGAGACCCTAGACCACGGAAACGGAGCAGCCAAGCATGGGGCTGAGAAGCAGGTGATGGGGTATGAACGTGACCCTGGTGCCTGGACTGGGCGGTGAACACGAGCTTCCTACCTGGCCTGGAGATGAAGGTCGGGGCCAGATGAAGGAGACGGGAGGAGGCATGAGCAGAGCTCCCTAAGCAGGGGCTGCAGCGGTATCCATCATCCCCGCATGCCTCATCCCTGCCTACTCCCCGTCACATCTTCTGCCCCGCCTGCAGCCCACCGCCCTGAGCTTGGACCCTCGGCCTCTTTCCAACTCTGTGCTCTTTCCAGCTTCTCATTATTAGAAAAGCAATCGCTTGCTAGGCAAGAGATAAATGGTTCTGAAGTTTGGCTCATTGGCAAGGAACGGGGGAAAAATACAAATACTAGGGCCCCACATTCACTCATTCCCGTTATAATAATAGATGCAAACGCGTGCGCGTTTCTATTCACAGAAAAGCCAACATAGCTTGGAGCGAGCGAGCGAGCAGGGAACGCCAGCAGCGGGGGGCGCTGAGGCTCACAGACGTCAGGGCTACCCGAACACAGGGGAGGAGGGAGGAGGGGGAGGGGATAGGGAGCACCCCCTCACCCCCCCCCATCACGCACACCCTGTGAAATCACACCCGGAGGCAGCACTGGGCCCAGCTCTGCTGTGTCACGGCGAGGACTTTGGCAAGGAGCCCCCCAACACCCCCCCCCAAGTGTGTGAGGCTGCCGTTTGTGCAGAGACGGAAGATTCTGCAGATAGATATCCGTTTCCTGGCAAACCCGAAGACGGGGTTTCAAGGACCAGCCCCTGGGTCTGTTTTGCTGAGCAGGCACAGCTCCGGGTGGGGGTGGCGGGGGGGGGGGGGCACCAGCATCTGAGGGGCAGTGTCCCAGGGCAGGGCCCGCTCCCCCTTCAAAGTGTCGGGTGTGCAACCCACCTGCAGAACCCAGCCAGCTGGGGGCCTCTTCTCCCCAGCAGAGCTCAGGGGGCCACTCCTGCCGACATCCAGCCAGCGGGGCCGGATGGCTGGGCCTGGAGCTGGGGTGCTGCCTGGGCTCCCCTGGGGCTGGGGGCCAGCTGGGCTGCGGCTAACGGCTCTTGGGGAGGACACCCAGCGGCGGGCTCAGACCCAGCTCCGGGTGCAGGCGGAACCACGTCCTGGCCCCCACAGTGGACACTGCTATAGCGCTTCCCTGGGGGTCCTCAGAGCTGCTCCCCCCTCGCCCCAACCTCTCTCCCCACACACCAGCAGAATGTGTCCCCAAACGTCAGCCTGTAGGTCATTGTGACCAAGTTGCGGGGCAGCAAGGGCCCGTGCTTCGTCTGCAGGAGCTCGGAGCTTAGTCACGGGCACCATAGGGTACCCTGGGCACCGCTAGGGCCAACCCCCGCCCTCCGACGCCACCACCGGGAGTGACCCCCAAAGCAAAATGAAGCACGGTGGAATCCTGGCACTTTCACGTGGGTGGTCAGCCTGTCCACGCCCTGCCCACTTTACAGATGAGAGAAGAGGCCATTTGCCTGTGCCCACGGGCTGGAATACCTCCCTTCCCCCCCACACACAGCCTGCACTCCAGAAGGTCTCCCCTAAAGCCTGGAGAGCAGGGGCATGGGGAGACGTGGGTCTGGACAGGGAAGCAGCCTGCGGTCCTCACTCGAACCCGCAACCACCCCTCCCGCCCTCCCATTCATCCACTGAGACTGGAGTGGGGGGAGGCACAGCCCTGCCCACTTACAGCACCCCGCCCCTTCCAGCCCCTCTGGCCCGAGCAGCCCACTCACCTCTCAGCCTCACTGTCGCTGGACGCCACCTCCTCCAGGGCGGCCTGCAGGTCTGCAATGCGCCGGATGGACGTCTCCAGGTCAGCCTGCAGGGTCTGCCTCACCGACCCCAACTCCTCCACGTACTTCTCCTGTGGACAGAGGGACCACAACACCCGTGGGTGGGGCTGGAGGAGACCCTGCCCCCGCAAGCACCAGGCACCCATTTGCCAGGTGAGGTTTGTGCAGTGTCCCCCCAACTCCCCCCTGCAGAGAGGGGCTCGGAATGAGGTGCATGAGAAGGCCCCCGTGTCCGAGCCTGCTCTGCAGGTGCTGCCTGCTGCAGCGTGGACACTGCATCCCCTTGGATGAGTCAGACAAAGGGAGGAGGCTACGGGTGTCCCAGAGCCCAGTGCTGCACTCCAGAAGCCAAAGATCCACCCGGTGGAGTGACTCTGAAGTGGGGCTTTGGAGAGAGGGCAGGACGGGGGGGGGGGGGGGGCACTGGCCCCCTTTCCACTGTCATTTCTTCCCACCACCAACGGGAACCACAGAGGCAGAGAGGGGAGCACAGATCCCGCTGGGTCTAGCCTGAGCTCTGGGAGGGCTGCGGAAGGCTCAGGGGTGCTCTCGGCGTCCCCTCTCCCCCCAAGCCTGGAACTTAGCTCACCCCTCCCTACCCCTGCCCCTGCACGAGGAGGAGCTGAGTTTGAGGAATGAGGCGGCATTAGGACCCCCGAGTCCACCTGCCCCCATCCCCCACACGCTCCCTGTCTTTCTGACGCTGCCCTAACTGGGTTCTATCCAGACCCCAGAGACCTACTGCCCCGGGGTGGGGCAGGGGACACAGTGGCAGCAACCTGCTTGCAGGGATCCTCTAGCTGCTAGAGAACAGAGCTCGGCGGTGCTGTTAACTCATCCTACAACGCACAGGGGGCCCCACAGAAGGTTCTGCCTCAGTGATCCGCATGCCCAGTCTGAGAACTGAGCTCAGAAGTGCACCTGCTGGACACGATTCCCAGGCACAGGGGTGCTGGAGCAAGGCCATGTGTCCCTAGAAGCTCGGGGCAGAGCTGCTCAGGACCTGGACGCTCTGATGGGCACCTGGATCCCTGGCATGACTCGGAGAAGCGGGGCGTGCGCCTAACTCGGATGCTACCAGGCTGACAGTAGCCATAGGAATTAGGACCCTGGTGGAGGCATGGACGGCTTCCATGAGAGAACGCTGATCAAACAGAAGGACAAGAAATAGGTGGTGCTGTGAAGGTGGGGTCACTACTCCCAGTTCTGCACTGGGTAGGGTGGTGGGGGGTAGGAGGTGCTGGTCACCTCTGCACTCCTTAGGACCAACCACTTACTCTTCTTAAACTCCTAGACGCCCCTCCCCCTGTGACGATGGAACAGAACCATTCTCTGTCCCCATGGAGGCAGCTTGTAGGGCAGTTAAAAAGGTAAAGGCCCTCCCGTTGATCGTGGATTTGCTCGAGCGGGCCCAGTAACGTCTCCATTGGAGACTTTGTTGTTACTGTGTCTGGCATAGCGAATACGTCACGGAGAGCTTGCCAGGCTCTGCCGTGCGGGCGAGAGACTCTCGGTAGCTTGCCGGGCTCTCCGAGAGGGGCGGAGGAATCAAACTCGGGTTGGCCATGCTGGCTGCGTGCAAGGCAAACGCCCTACCGCCGTGCTATCGCTCCAGAAGTCTCACAATGGAGACATTACTGGGCCGCTCGAGCAAATCGATGAACAACAGAAGGACAGTGACAGGGAACTTAATGGCCACAATTTAAATTATTTCCTCTGGGGGCTGAAGCGATAGTACGAGAGGGAAGGCATTTGCCTTGCACACAGCTGACTCAGGTTTGATCCTCGACATCCCATATTATCTCCCGAGCACTGCCAGGAGTGATCCCTGAATGCAGAGCCAGGAGTAACCCCTGCGCATCATTTATTGTGATGGTGGTGGGGAGGGGGTCGTCCCCTGTTGTGATATTTCCTTAGGAGCTAATGTTTAATACCGGGTGATGGTTTTCTCTGCTAGGACAGGTCAGTCTCTGGAGGTCCCTCTTCCCTGCAAAGGTGCCAGACTCTTCATTCAGGCCAATTTCTGGGCTCTGACCCCAGACCAGCCCAAGTCCACTCCACAGAGTTCATATTCTAGACCAGGCTGTTTGAAAATGCCCTCAAACATGATCCATATTCGTCTCCTTTTTAATTCTTTCCTCTGCATGCGATAAAGATTAGGAGGAGTGTTCTAAATAGAGCCTGGTGCTCCTGAAAATTTATACACACACATGTTGTGTGTCTCTTATACACATACCCACAAGCATGTGTGCGCCTACTTGCCTTCGGCTCCACAACCCGCGCGTCCTTCACACATATGCGCAGAATTAGTCATCCATCCACGTCTCCTGGCACTGCTGCGGGTCTGCAAAGCCTTTTCTCGGGCCCCCTTTGTGTGAACCCCCGAGTCAAGGGCTCTCTCTAAACACATTTAATTTCAGAGTCATTTCAGAGTATCAAAAGAGTAGCTGAGTTATTATCTCTGTGCGGGCGAGATAGCCCGTGCTTTTTCTTCTTCCTTTATGCACTTCTCCAGACTTTCTGCAAAGAATACGAATGACTTTACTTATCAGACAGGGCCACATTTTGGTCTCTGATGCTTCTCTGGCGTGACCCCACGGCCAGCTCCGGATCCATCAGCTCTTGCTTCTCGGGGCTGCTCATCGCCCCCATTTCACACACCCAGGGCAGCCTGAGCCGCAGCGAGGTCAAGACACTTGCCCAGGTACAGGTGACCAAAACACAATGACAAGGAAGGGAGTCGGGGCTCCGAAATTCAGCCCACAGACCCTCCCTTTGCTTCTCTAAGGGTGTGCGCATATGTGTATGTGTTGTGTGTGTATGTGTGTCTGGGGGGGGAGTGTCGGGGGGAGGGATCTTTACAGAAAAAAAAATGATAGGCCAATGCCTTTGTTTCATCCAACTTGTCCAGGAGAACTAAGGCAATAGAGAGAATGGGATCCCTGGGAGCTGTCCTGGTCCCAAGGCCCATTTGGGGAGAAGAAGAGAGTTGGGGTGCCCAGGAGAAGCCCAAAAAGGATTCATTTAATTTACATACAAGTGGTACCACATGGAAAGTATCATGTTAAGCAAAATGAGTCAGAAAGAGTGGGATAGACACAGAAATATGGCATTCATCTGGGGAACATAAAGCAACAAAATGGGAGACTAACACCCAGGAGTGGCCAAGAGTAGTACCAGGAATTTTGCTCCATGACTTGGAAGCCAGCCACACGTGCTAGGGGAAAAGGAAGCTCAGATAGAGAAGGGAGCACCAAATAAAGGGTGTTGGGAGGATCTTCCTAGGATGGGAGAAGCATGCTGAAAGTAGACTATAGACCAAACATGATTGCCACTCAATGCCTCTCTTGCAAACCTTGCAAACCACAGAACCCAAAAGGAGAGAGTGAACAAAAGGGAATTCCCTGCCATGGAGGTAGGGTGGGATGGGGGGATGGGGGATGGGAGGGATACTGGGACCTGTGGTGGTGGAAAATGGGCACTGGTGGAGGGATGGGTACTTGATCATTGTATAACTGAAACCCAAGCACAAAAATTTGTAAGTCTACAACTGTACCTCATGGTGTTTCACTAATAAAAAAGTAAAAATAAAAATGAAAATAAAAATCTCTTAAAATGGAAAAGCGGGCAGGGCAGAGAGGTGGCTCCATGGATGGAGCACCCACTTTGCATGCAGGAGACCCCTGAGCACCACCAGGAGTGTCCCCCACCCAGCAGAGCTGAGTATGGCTCCCCCCAAACAAAACAAAAAACATGAAGCCTGAATGAGAGCTCAGTCTCCGGCGGGAAAGGCCCTGGGGAGAAGGTAGCCGCCCCCTCCCCCCCTCTACCCGTCCGGTTCCTCTTCTGTCATTTCTCCAAGTGCTGAGGGTGCAGCAGACAGAGAGGCTCTCAGAGCCACTTCCAGCCTTTCTTCCTCCAGGCAGGCATGACTAATCAGTCGCCCCACAGACTCAGGAGTCACTCACCGAGTCTCATACTAAGCACCTCATCCCAGGGCTGACCTGGGCTGCCCAGGACTCCCTTCATGGATGTCTACTGGGACTGGGCACTTAAAAAAGAAATAGATTTCCTGGCGGTAGGAGGGGGGTGAAGAGAGTGGGGGTGTGTCTGAGTGATTTATGTTCTGTGAAAGGCGAAACAAGTTTAGAAACCTTTGCTTGTAATGATTCCTCTCCTCCAAGGAAGGCCTTCTTGACCCGTAATAAAGCCGCAACAGACTGGGCTGGAGCAGTAGGACAGTGGATAAAGCATTTGCTTTGCACTCGGCCAAACCGGGTGTGATCCCCTGCATCCCATATGGTACTGCTAGGCCCACCAGGAGTGATCCCTGAGCTCAGAGTCAGGAGTCAGCCCTGAGCACTGCCAGGTATAGACCCCAAACAAACAAACAAACACGGTAGAGGTTGGATGGGTGGATTGGGCTGTTCTCCTTAAAATATATGAGTGTTGTATAGAATGGAAGGAAGTGAGAGAGTGAGAGGAGAGAGAGAGAGAGAGAGAGAGAGAGAGAGAGAGAGAGAGAGAGAGAGAATGGAGGAGGGAAACTAAAACCCATCACATTTAGGGAGAGACCCTGGTGGTGAGCTTGGAAGGTGGGGGAGGACGGGAGGAGCAGGCTAGTAACAGCACAGGAGGAGGGAGGATGTACTGACATTTCAGCCAGAGGTGTCCTGAAGCCTAAGTGAATTCTGAAGGGTCACTAAATCTTGCCTTATATTCAGCTCCTCATCTATTAAGAGGACAGATTTATTCTTCTTCCCTGACTAAAGGTGGTTTCAGAAACAGAATCATGCAGAAGGGCAGGCATCTGGTCTACCTAATCCAATGGCTCATGTGTCGTACAGAACAAACCTTCCCATTTCCTTCTAGACTCTGCAAATATGAAACCTGCAGAAAATCACGGCATCTTATTTTTTCCCACCCAGAAAAGTAAGTCGAAGAATCTGATGCTTTACAGCTGAAGAAACCAGGGCGACTTTATACCATGACTCAAAGGAAGCCTGTATCAGGTAGGAATAATGGGAGCACGCTAGACCATTCAACCAGAGGAATTCAATGTAGGGAGAGT